AACTGGACTTAATCAGTGCTGAATAAAAGGAAAGGATAGCCTTGACCTTTTACCTGCTGGCAATGCTCTTCCTAATGCAACCTAGGGTATGTTTGGCTTTGTTTGCCACAAGAGCACATTGCTGGCTGATGTTCGACTTGTCCACCAGGACTTCCAGGTCCTTCTCTATGAAGCTGCTTTTCAGTGAGTCAGCCTAGCTAGCTACAGGCCTTCGACTTGGTTGTGTGCCACTGGTCACTCTCTGAGCTCTGCAATTTATCCAGTTTTAAATCCATTAAGCTGACTCCTTTTCTAGCTACTTCATCAGCTTATCTATGAGGGTGGGAGGCAGAACAAAAAACCTTGCTGAAGCCAAGGTAGACAACATCCTATGCTCTCCCCTGGCTACCTGGCRAGTCATTCCATCATGGAAGGCTCGCAGGTTGGTTAGGTATGAATTCATGCTAACTACTCTGATCACCTTCTTATCCTTCATATGCTTGAAAATGGTATCCAAGGTTAKATGTTTTGTCACCTTTCCAGGGATCACGGTAAGACTGACTGGCCTGTATTCCTCTGGATCCTCCTTCTTGCCGTTTTTGAAGATAGTAACAATATTACCTTTCTTCCAGGCCTCAGGCACCTCTCCTGTTCTTCATGTTCTTTCTAAGATGATTAAGAATCCTTGCAATGATATCTGCAATCCACCTTGAAATAACTGGCTACTTTGGAAACCTAATAWCTTCTAGCATTTTTGGACAAAACAGTAATTTTTATTATGTTTATTATATATATATGATATATATATTATATATTTATAATTTATTATTATTATGCATGGTATTATGTTGCCTTGCATAAATCTACCATTCTTCAAATGGGACCGAAAATGGAAAATAAAAGATGGAGAATTTTGACTTTAAAGTTTAGCATTATTAACAACTGAGAACTCCACCATTCTTCTGCTTAGAAGCTGGAATGTTATCCYCTGAGAAGCAAACTATCAGAAAATGATTTCTTACATTTCCTGATTTATAGTTTTTATAGWTGCATTCAAAACCAGTTTGTGTTGAAATACTGCAGTATGTAGTTTCTATAGTCTTATGATTTTATCTCTAAAGCTTAACTACTCTTTGAGTTCACATGCTTCTATCCTGTAGCAGAGTCTTTGCTTTCGTTTCTTACATAATTATGTATGACAAAGTAATAGGTGGAGATAGGTGTCATATGAAGGTCAATAAGTGAACCTGACATGTAAAACTGTACTTTGTGTCAGTATAAATTTATATTCTGAGTCAGACTAAGGCCATATATTCCTCATGTAGCTGATTCCATAATTTGAAAGTAGGCCATGCCAGTCCTAGCACAGATGCATACAATATAGGTTTTCTTTTTTCAGTGCTTCTCCTAAGTCTATGCCACTAGAGACCCTTGTCACAAAAAGTACTCCTATAATTCTGCTTCTGTTGAGGGAGCGACATCGTCTACTGTCTTTTAGTGTCACATGTCACATGAGTTTATTCATTTTTTTATACTGACTGAAAGCATAAATTAGCAGTGCCTATGCTATAGTATGGAGTAGAGGATTTTAATCTCCAGTGTTGTAAATATGGCAGCTTTTACCATTAATGCTGAMCTACCACAAGACAGAACGAATAAAGGTGCAGCTTGTAGAGAAATATTCTTTCTTGTTACAGCACCTTCATTGCTTCTTCCTAGCAAATAGTTGGTTACAAGTCTCTATCGGGCATATGTCATTTTSCCCCTTTCCTCAAAATCCTTAAAAATCATTCAGTAGGTTTTTCTACTGCTTTGGCATCTGAAAGGCAGCATGTGGAACTGTCTCCTCTTAGCTCTGAACAAGAAAAGCACCAAGCATGTAACCAACTGTGTAGGGGGCACTTAATGTTCCTCTCTCTGTGATCACAAAAGCTAGACCTTGTTCAAAATCAGTGTGTTCAGTTTAGTGCCAGAAGCAAAAGAAAGAAATTCTTATTCTGAGTTTCAAATGTCTTGTACTAACGGACACAGTATGATTTTTACAGTATTCAATTTGTGTTTTACAAAGCATATAGTTTATCTGTTAAAAATCCTGTGTAATCTCTAGCATACTGCTTATCCTTTCAGATACCAAAGTAACACAGCAGCTGACGTTCTCGACACTATTACCAATATTCAGCCTAAAGAAAGTGGTGGAGGAGTTGGAGAAACTCGTGAAGCCATTGTTTATCGTTTGGCTGAAGACATGCTGGAGAAACTGCCACCTGATTATGTACCTCATGAGGCAAGCTAATCTTAGCTCTTTTCTTACTGCTCTCTCTGTGGAGTTTTCATATGAGAAGTGTCCACCCTCTTCCCCTTTCCTCCTTCCCCCAATTAATAGAAATGTGTCCTTTTATTAAAAACAAAAACAAACAAAAACTTAACAGTTGTTATGGAGATGTGTCAAGGAGACTGATTGGATTTCCAAAGATGCATGCAAAGTTACAGGGCTTAAAAAATAAAAGTCTTGACTTTATTTGGCAACAGTCCACCAAAGTGAAATCCCATAGGAGTGAGGTCCCATTTGAACACATCCAAAATTAATAGGTTGGTGTCATCAGAGCATGCAGACGAAAGAAAAATGAAAAATGCAATAGTTGAATCTAGCTAAATACTAGCTGAATAATTCAAAGTACAAAAATACTATTTATTTCTGTTAATATAAAACAACTAGGCTGTTATATATGACAACTTTTTTTAATATTTCAGATTTTACTAAATTGCTTCTTCTGGGTTCCTGTATTTTAGGTAAAAGCTCGTTTAATTAAAATGGGACAACTTAACTCTATGAATATTTTTCTTCGGCAAGAAATTGACCGAATGCAAAAGGTCATCACAGTACTCCGAAACAGCCTGAATGATCTTAAGTTAGCTATAGAAGGAACTATTATTATGAGTGAGGTAAGTGCAAGCATGTTTACTATATACGAAGTATTCTTTTGGAAACTTTTTTTCTTCTTGTTTGCTTCAGTTCATATATTGTAATTTCATTGTAGAATTTGAGAGATGCTCTTGATAATATGTATGACGCTCGAATTCCTCAAATATGGAAGAGAGTATCTTGGGATTCTTCAACACTTGGCTTCTGGTTTACTGAACTTTTGGAAAGAAATAATCAGTTTTCTAATTGGATATTTGAAGGAAGACCAAATGTGTTTTGGATGACTGGATTCTTTAATCCACAAGGTAGAGTACTGAGAGGATTTAGGTAATAATGCATTGTATTTAATAATAATTTAAGGGTGTTTACTACATATTTAATATTATGCCAAAAAARTATTTTCATCACTGTCACAGTATGTTATAGAAGCCAACGTGATAAATGAGTTCCAAAAAGAAAGGCATGGGAAACAGGACCATTGGTAGCTGTGAACATAATTGTCCAAACTTAATCTCCAGTTTGAGGAGTCCCTAAGCTCCTGATTGCTTGAAAGGATTTATGCATCATTTTGCTTGTTATTTTATTTCCTAAAGCATCTTTTTATGTCCAATGTGAGAAGCAGGATGCCTTTCTTTTGGTTTGACACAGAAAATGTTCTAGCTTGTTGACATATTGCAAATGATAATGATTGAGCATCTAAGGAAAACATACTTTTTCTGCTTTTTCTGTGATTTCAATCTTTTTTTAGCTCCGATAGACAGATATCCAGTTCCACTAAGTTGCAAGTAGTTTGTTCAAATTCATCAAGAATATACTGAAAAGTGCAAGTAAATGTAATCTATCACTCTCCGTTATAGCTTGATGTATTTATCATTTTATAGGAAGGAAAATAAATGGTAATCATCTCCATAAGYAACAAAAATCATTAACTTATTAGATGCATGTTCCTAAAGGAATTGCATTTAGCTTAAGCAACTATTGATGTTGCTTACATTAATAATATTTAAATAATACAAAATATTCATGGGAATATTGTCTCAAGTAACTAATATGACTTTTTATTATAATTAATGTATAAAATCTGAATATTTGTAAGTTATCTTCAGTTTGTGATGTTGCTCTTCTTAACCTATGACCAGAACTGTAAAAACTAATAATAACCAAGTCATTTTTAGAATCATCCCAGAAAGCTGCAGTGCCTGGAGTACATCAGATAAACATGGGAGAATTCCAAATTACTCTTAAAAGCTGGTACTGAGAAGCCAGTCAAAACATCATTCCATTGGCATCATAAATGGCACAGCTGCTAAGAGCAGTATCGGTCTTTGACAGCATGTTCATCTCTGGTGATTCAAGAGCAGCTCTAACAGGGGGAAAAGCAGATAATGGACTAGAATCTTTTCATCAAACTATTCAGTCTAAACCAAACAAATCTCATACAGAAGGGCTTTAACTTGATGATTGCTTTAACATCTGTGTTTGGTAAAACTGTTGCAGTGTTGTGTAGTGGGAATTTCTTTTTTATAGCACTATTGAGTATCATCAATAATTGTATTTAAAATCTATTGTGCTTTTTTGGTAATTATTAGTTTGCATTCTATAAATTGTTAAGGTGAATGGACATGTTTGTCACAATTCAAAAATTCCATGTGGTAGAGAAGCTATTTGAAATGAACATGCTCATGAAAGAGTAAATTTAATATTGTAGAGATGCAATTAATTTTTACCTATATTTAGAAGCTTAGCTTTTTTTTTTTTTTTTTTTTTTCTTTTTTTGGTATCAAAATATATAGCATTTGAGGAAGTTAATGCATTTTGTTATGTTTATTTCAAATATTACATTACTTGCATTGACATTGCATATAGATATTTTAAACATGATAAGTATCTTAAACTCTAGTTGGCTGTCAGCACATTCATACTGATTTTTATAGCTTGCTATGTTGTCCTTCACTGCATGACCACATACTTTCACGATTACCCCCCTTCTCAGTATCTTGTTTGATGGTTTCTCTGTCATGAATCTGTTTAAGTAGATAGGCAGCAAAGCCCTGTTCTTCTAGTTCTTTATGTCCTATCAAGGAGTAACTGATGCTGCTTCCTCTTTAGATCGTTATGGTGATAACTCTCAAGCATGCACTTCACTATTGTTAACTTTTCTCCTTTYGCCTCAATTTATTTTTGACAGTTCCAAGTAGCAATTTTCATCTGGCAGCATAAAACAGCAGCTGTTGTTTTCTTGGTGGCTACATTGTCATCCTCAGAGACGCTGATTGAAAATACCTGATTGTTTCTGTAGCAATGTTTCTTTTTTTGTTCTTTTTCTTTTTCTTTTAATGTCTTGTTCCTTTATAATACATCCTTTACTGCCCGTTTTTTTTTATCTTGTACTTAAACTATTCAACCCTTTAGCTTTCAAATCTTATTTATTGCAAACCTGTGTCTGTAATGCATATTCAAAACAACACTCCAGAAATCCCCTAGTTCGCTACTTTGATTGTGTAATCCTTTACTTCCATTTGTCTTTAGGACTTGCTTTTCTCTATTAACAAAATATATTATTTTTTGCCTTCAAAGGCACTTCATTGTTTAGACTTCCTACATRTAGTTATTTTCTATCATACTCAGACACATCTTTTTTTTACCAAACAATGTACTTTTATTTTTTTTCTATTGCTTTCATTTAAAAAAAAAAAAAAAAAAACCTAAGCTTTCCCTATGTAAATATCAACTCACATAATATGTATCTTGTCTGTCTTCAAATTCCTTTTTCGAGCACAAATCGACCTTGCATCCTTTCGGTTGCTGTCTCATGGTAAAAGGTAAGACAGAATCCTGAACAAACATTTTTTAGCTACTCTACTGTTTAATTAACAAACCTATTTTATGTTCCATTGAAAAATRGTTTTTGTCAGCATAATGCACAGTATGCCAGTCTTCCCCCTCCACTTATTTTTGTCAACATGCTCAGTTTGAATAGTACTATGAATACTATGAGTACTATGTTTGTAATACATTAGTACAGAGACATGCATATAATTGAGCTAGGTCTCCTTCCTTAAGAAGACCTATAGGAATAGATGTACCTATAGGAAGATGAGGTACATCTTCGATTAGGTACATCTTCCTATAAGATGTACCTAATCTGTGACTTATTTTCTCTAGGATTCCTGACAGCAATGAGACAAGAAGCAACACGAGCACATAAAGGCTGGGCTTTAGATACAGTTACAATACATAATGAAGTGCTAAAGCAAACMAAAGAGGAAATCACAGTGCCTCCTTCGGTATGTATGATACACAAAAATGCTTCAGTATTAATTTCAGCCTTTAATTTATATTTTGCGTCATTGAGTCACTTTGTATTGCTAGAGGAAAAGCCCCTTCTGCTGAGGGGATTATTGAACAACTTTAATTGTCACTCATTGTAGTAGCATTGTATTCTGAAAAAAGAGGATATTATAATCTAAAAATGAAAAGTTTGGAAAGACTAAATGCCAGATAATTCTAATATAAAGTATATATTCATCTTAATGGCTTAAGATAATTATTTTATACAGCTGATGTCTTTTACATGATGTATCTGCATATTGTCTACACAGGAAGGAGTGTACATTTATGGTCTTTACTTGGAAGGAGCTGGCTGGGACAGACGAAATGGTAAACTCGTTGAATCTACACCAAAGATCCTTTTTGTACAGCTCCCTGTGGTGCATATATTTGCTATTAATACAGCCATTCCTAAGGATTCCAAACTCTATGTCTGTCCTATTTACAAGAAACCCAGGAGGACAGATCTGACCTATATTACTGTGATCTACTTAAGGACAATACTATCTGCAGACCATTGGATATTGAGAGGAGTGGCTCTCCTGTGTGACATCAAGTAAACCTTGTTCTTCAGCCATAAGAGAAATACACACTATATGCCACCCGTAATCAAATACGTGTGTAATTCTATTGCCTCTTTTTTGTTGTTTTTTTTTTCTCTGACCATCAGCCTTTAGATCTCTCAATGCTGACTTACAGATTTTTTTCTCYCTCCAATAAACTCAGTTCTTTTTGCTGTTTGGCCATAATTTTAAAATAAACTTTTCAAAAATAAGTTCACTAATTGCARTCATTGATGTTTTCATTACATCCCATAAAAAGAAACATTGACTTAAATAACGATGTTAGTGTGAAGTGAAATATTGTTAAAATTTGAATGAGAAAAACTTTGCTTTTTCAAAGTCTTTTTCTCCTATGCAACTTTTAATATGCATTACAGTGATGACAATAAAACACAATATAATACATTACAGAATTTACCCTCTCTCAGATAAATGTTTTGAAAACATTCCTGAATTCTGTGTGATACATGTATGATTTTCTTTGCAGGAAAATACATTCAAAACAGAACAGCATTTTAATCCATACTTTTTGCTGGATTTTTTTTTTCAGAGTTCACTCCTGGGTGTTAAAATGTATAGATTAGCCAAATCGGACATGTTTTCTTTGGATTATATGACAGAGCTCAGGCTGTTCTCTGTCCAGTTTTGCTATGTAGGAACATAGCTGCAGAAGAAAAACAGTGCCAGGTGGTTAATTTGGATGCTTTTGTAATTAGAATAGAGAACCAAATTATCTACAGCTATAGCTGTTTCCCTCCCTGCATCCCATCTTCTCTAAAGCACAGGCCAGAATACTTGCATTGCCCATCACAGCATTATTTCCTGATGAGTATCCATGAATTAGCCATAGGTAATTCATATTAAACTAATTTTGTGAACTTAATACTAAAAGAGATATGCAGTCTACACTCTCTAGTAATCTGCATAAAATGAGTTCTTTCCTCAGATACCCCATGACTAGGCTGTTTCTTCCTCCTGCAGTTTGGTTGATCAAATACATGTACTGTGGAAAAGTGCAGCTACAAATTGATGAAGTCCTTGGGCATCTGATGGGGCTCCTCAGAATGCTACTCCTTTCTGTTAGAAGTCCCGTGCTAAGGTAACCTCTAGCAGAAGGGAAGAGCRTATATGAAATTACAGTACACAGATGCAAAGTGGTTACCAAAGTAATGAAAATGAAGAGTTTCAAACACAGTTAAATAAGTTTCCTCCCTATCTTCTCTGTAGACCTAGATTCAAGTGCAATCAGTCAGGTAAGGTGCAAATACAAACTGGAAAAGTCAAAAGTTATAACGCTGACATACATCTGTAAAGAACATTAAAAAAAAAAGACACTGAAACTGTAGGACATTTTGATCCAAGTAATCAAAAAAAAAAAAAAAAAAAAAAGAAAGCCATTTATTCTTTACTCCCACGCATTTATTAATATTTGTAAATATCTCCTAAAATATATTTGAGTGTCTGTTGAATAGAAGATAAAATTCTTCTTTAGAGAATATAATTTAGAGAATTATAAATAATTCTACTTTCATATGTMAAACATAGCAAAGTGATTTAATTTGTTTATGCCTGAAATTTCTGATATTGCCTGTATTCTTAATTACTGTGTGGAGACTATGTGTAATCCTGTAAATGTCTCCACAAAAGGAAGATGTGCATACCTGATTTTACAAATTGAAGTCTATATGAGAAAATACATAATAATGTAATGAATGGATGAATTTATGTAATTTACACCAAAATTGATTTTATCCTCTATACTGCCTAATATCAAAATGAGAGGTAAGGTGTAGTATATCATCAATCACAACTTGTTGAAACACTGCACTAGATTATTGATAGCAATCCTTACTTTTATTTAGTTTCCAGTACCATTGTTCCTGACTTCTAACACTGTTCATTACTTCATGACTATAAATTTCCATATATCTTTGTAAATAGTTTATGGAAATAATCTATGTTTTGTGATAGCAACAATCTAATATCTATTCAGGAGGACCTTTTTTCCCTGTATATGCTTTAAGACTATTCCTAAAGTTTTTTTCTGTCCTAATGCTGTACATGGGGTAGTAAATCCTTACACCCAGTTTGGTGACAATCAGCTCTTCAGACAGCTAGGAATATGCAGTTAATAGGGTATTTTCCTCCAAAGTCTCAGTCAGTGATTACAAATCATTTATCTTAGTTGACATAATGTATAAGAATATCTCTTAAATCGAGATCTACCAGTCCCATAAATGCTCCAGTATGTTGTAACAGACATCCAAAATTCCTAAATTAAAGTTGACACACTTTTTCCAAGTTATTGAGCAAATTACTTCATGAGCCATTTTATGCCCATCTGTAATTCAGAACCCTGCTCTTCAGGTTGTAAGACAATATAACAGTGCCTGAATAGACAAAAAGGAGAAAGTCATGTCTGGAGAACACAAATATGTTAGAGATCCTCTTAAAAGAAGAAAAAATGCAAATATGGAATACAAAAAGTCTCTCTGAAAGCAAGGAATATCTGTGTTTGAAAATGTATAGAGAAACACATCCAGAATCAGACTCTTTTGTTGCTCAGTGGAACTGTTACCCACATGCATTTTCCCACATATTCCCTCTAATGATCAGAGGTAAGGTCAAGGAGTGGAGACAAGATAAAGCATAGTCTTTCTCTTTGCTTTAGCATAGAAAAATTAATTTGGGTTCTTTGATCTGCCAGATTTGTTGAGAGACCCACTTTTCATAGGAGTGTGTGTTCTTAGCTGATAATTCGTGACTTTGGTAGGGCTGTCTGAAGAGCTTTTTATATAGCAATGGTAACATTCACAGAAAAGCGTATGTAAGTGAGGAAGTGGGATTTGTTTTCTGGTCAGGTTGCTAAATCTTGCAAAACCACCGATTGGAGCGAAATTCTCCCAAGAGAATCGTATAAATTTATAAAATATTTGCTCATGTCATAGAATCATCTTCATTCAGACCATCTGCTTCTGCTTCTTGATTCTAGCTGGATGGTTTTAAATAATATCTCTTTGCCCTTGTCCACCTTAAGTTCATGTCCTAGACTTTGGAGAAGGAATCTTGGCAGCATGTTGGAACAGAAAACTATCTGTAATTTCCTGCATATATTCATCTGTGCTCATAGATGAATATATCTATACATAGATGACCTATGTATGTTTAATATTTTGATTAGTCAAGTGGTCCTTCAAGAGGCTAGCTAAGTATAACTCCTAATTTTCATTTCTTGAAGTAAGTGTCTAATAGAAGTAGTGGGACTTCTGTGAACAGATACTCAAAGGTAGAAAGGTATTTGTCTCACAGAACTGTGGTTCAGAAAAGTGATGTCTTTTCATGATGTTAGAAAAGTCTCTGTACAGAAGGATGTTGCAAATTGCTCTCCTTYCCTGCAGCTTCAGATGACTTGCATGCAGGTTCTAGTATAATGATTAAAATGAATGATGGTTAAGGTCATTGTCTCTCTTTTCATAATGTTTATGATGGAAAAAGGTTTAGATGCAAAAGACGGTGATTAAAGGCTTTTAATCTCCTTTCTGGGCACATTAGCACAAAAAGGGGAGTTCATGTGAAAAGAACAGCTTTAGTATTCAGTGTAATACAAATGGCCATTCTTTCTGCAGAAAGGATTTAGCATGTGTATATACAATCTAGACAATTTCACCATAATGTTATCCTTTTTGTCTAGTCATAGCCATGATAACACATGGAAATCCAGGGCTCCCCGTCTCATTCACCCAAGGAGTATTTGTTAATCCTTGGTTCTAAATCATAGATTACATTATCATCTCCTTCTGAACAAATACACAATGTACTCCTTTCAGAGGATATTTGTCCCTAGAACATGTCAGAGGTTGCAAGACAGACTACTAGACACTTGTTTCACCATTTGCGACATCTTCCAGACTATAGGAGAAAAAGAATGTTGCCAATAACCTTTAGATTTTCTATACTTCTATGATGTCTAAATATGGGAATGTCTGGATCAAGTACAGAGATCAATCAATATAGGACAAAGACATTTTATAGAATAGTTTTAAAGCRATTTGTTCTTTACAAGAGAATGTAAGCTTTGTATTGGAATTCATTATCTATTTAAATCATTCCTTTCTTGCAATCTTTATATAGAATAAATTCCACAAGGCCAGACAATTCTACCAGCCAGACACAAAAGTAGACACAGCTATTCCATTTCATTTTGAAATCTACCAAAGATTACTTAAAAAAAAAAACAGAAGCTCTGTGTTTATTTTTTCTGTCATCAAAAAGTATCTCGACACAAAGTGCAACTCAAACTATGTGAAAGCTTAAAACCCGAGCTGTTTGTTCCACTCCAGCACTACCTGGTTTTTCTGTACGTTCGTGTATAACCAGGCCTTTAAGTCTGCAGTTGCAAGCTACCAACAACTTATGCCCATTCATTCTGGATCTGCATCTCCAGTGCTGTACTTCACATTATAGAAAACTGGTTGGTTTTGATTCCAGCATTATATAGCTACTAAAAGACACTTCATGCACTGACCATATGCTCCATGTAGTTAGGTAACTAGTTACAGAACCATTCATAGTTACAAGCATATATAAAAAAAGAGAGAATTAGTGTGTAAAGGTGCACTATGACCAGTAACTGGAAGAAACTCCCCTACTTTCTACTGCACTAAACATTTTGTACATTAATCTCTCATTCATCTTTTTTGTGGAGCAATATTGTGATACAGTATGCTGTAAGATATAGACTATCTAAAATGCTTGAATAACCTACTTTCCAAAATCCACATTTCAGATAACTTAGTGTTTTCAAAGATACCAATGTATCATGTGACACCAAGATGAAAGGACCTCCCTTCTAAACCCCAGTGTGCCTATAATAACTGCAGTGGCTTATTTGCTTATAGCACTCATCTGTATAATGAGAGTTACTAGGAGCTGCTTTTTGCCAGGGGAGGCACAGAAGAACTTAGCTTAGCTGAACCTCTATGGCAGTATGTAAGTGTCTGCACAAGATACAAATTCCTCAAACACCATCCACACTGAATCATAATTCAATGCTAAAATGCCCCTGCTTCATTTCCTAAACTTACAAGTGATTTATTTGAATAACTTCATGGGTGCATGACAGTGAACAGTTAAGC